GGAATTGACTTAGATCATTGCGTTGCTCAGAAGAACAAAGTCTAACGAAGTCAGTCATAGCACAATGTTGCTCAGTTATAGCTCTTGAGAGCAATAAATGTGTTGTGGTTGGTTCTGTGAGATAAGCATTGATTCAAATTTTTTCTCCAATGGTTAGGCACTCAAGGGATTTTGCTACCGCTCATCACAGCCAATGGGGGTCCAGCTGTGTGTGTAGAGCCACTACAGCAATGTGGCATGTGTATATGTTGGGGGGAGGGGAGGGAGAATACCTGGAAAGTGGGATGTAGTGAAAGAACATTAGACGGTGGTGGGTATATGAACAACTTGTCCCTTTATGAACTAAAAGTGTCTTGTACCTGCCTTGATTAAAAATCAGTATTTAATTCGACATGTGTTGTGACTTTGTTCATACTCATGTCCTTAGAACAGTTAAGGGATCTTCTAACCAAAGCTGTGCCACAGGCTCTGAGCTTTCATTTTTGGCTAACCCCCTGAGTCCATTTCCCCTCTAACCTCCATTTTTCAACTATATCGGTCACATTTCCAAACTAACTAGGCCATAGGATGTACAGGAACATTAAAAAAAATGGGTGCATACGTATGTATGCACATGTGTGCACACATATGTGTCTGTGTGTGCATGTGTGCATGTATATATATGTGTGCGCGTATGTGTGTAGAGTGAAAGGGGATTGAAGAATGGGAGAAAGAAGCTGAAAAGGACTTCATATTACATACTAGCAGATAGTTTTCTACTACAATTCTATTTACTTTAGAAAGATTCAAGGTCCTTGTCTGATTTTTTTTTAATACTCCCCCTTCCTAAAATTGTCCCCTTTCCCCAAATCATTTCTATCTACTTCTGTGGCTCTCCATATCCCAGCCTAGGATAATACGGGTACCTGCTTTTAGTAAAAATACTTAGGCTGAGTTACCCAATCCCACAGCTGGTTGAAAAGTGAAAGAATTAGTACAAACCAGTTATTTGTTGACTTATTCCCTGTCAGCTCTTCAAGTGTCACATAGATCAAGTTTTAGAATTTCCCATATACAGATCTTCATGAAGGTAAAACCGAAAGGGGAAAGAAAGGAGAGGAAACTATAGATCTGGAAAAGATCTTAGAATTCATTTCTAGGTGGCACAGTGGATAGAGCACTGGGTCTGGAGTTAGGAAGACCCGAGTTCAAATTTGACTTCAGACATTTATTTCTTCCAGTGTGAGCCTGGACAAGTCACTTAATCTCTGTTTATCTAGGTTTCCTCAACTGTAAAACTGGGGTGATAATAGTACCTACCTCTCAGGATTGTTGGGAGCATCAAATGAGATAATATTTGTAAGTCACTTAGCACAATGCCAGCACATAGTAGATACTATATAAATGTTTATTCCTCACTTACACCTCACTTCATCCAGGCCAACCCCCTCATTTTACAGATGAGTAAACTGAGAACCGGAGATAAGCTAGAGAGTATATTTTTGTTTTTGTTGTTGAGTTGTTTCAGTTGTGTCCGACTCTCTGTGACCACATTTTAGCAAAGATATGGGAGTGGTTTGCCATTTCCTTCTCCAGCTCATTTTACAGATGAGGAACTGAAGCAAACAGGGTTAATTGACTTGCCCAAGGTCACTCAGCTAGTAAGTGTCTGAGGCCAGATTTGAACTCAGGAAGGTGAGTCTTCCTGATTCCAGATCCAGAACTCTGTGCAGTATGGCGCTACCTAGCTGCCCTTAGAGTGCATATAGAGCAGCACAATCAGGATAGGAAAGAGCCTTCAATCTAATGTTGCATGAGGATAGGTTGCAGGAAATGGTGACATTCAGTTTGGAGAAGATTGGAGAGGTGGGGGGAGGAGGGGGTATGCCAGCTGTCTCCAAGCTCTCATGGGAGAGAGGGCTTAGACTTGTTCTTTGGACCCATAAAAGAACCAGGAGCAATGGGGAACAGTTGCAAGATGCAAATCTAGATTGGGTATTGGGCAAAGTGTCTTAATGACCAGAACCAGCCAGAAGCGGTGATGAGTTTCCCTTCACTGGAGGTCTTCAAGTAGAAGCTGAATGACCACTTGTAGGTTATGAAATAGCAGGAATTTTTTAAAAGTAGTGCACAGATCAGACCAGCTGGACACCAAGGTCCCTTCCAACTCTAAGTTCAGTAAATAAATGAGGTAATACTTATAAAGCACTTTTCAAACCTTAAAGCTCCATATATGTGCTAGACAGTATTATTGTCATCATCACCATTGCTACTTCTGTGAAGTGTCTTGCTCAAGGTCTCAGATGCAGTAAGCAGCAGAGTTGGGATTAAAACCCAGGTATTTTCCATTACAGCATAGAATACGTTCTTTCCAGATCTATGGTTTGATTTCCTCTTGGTCTGCCATGATTCCCTTTAGGCCTCAACTTGATTTTGTCTGTTTTGCATTTAGAAAACTATATTTAGACAAACACATATTAAAGAATAGTCATTTATTCAAACATATATGTTTATGCATATAAAAGGCAAGGTTTTTTTTTTTACACATATACAAGAAAACAAGTATGTCATTTACAAATTTAGAAATATGCCAGGCTATGATTCCAGTTTCATTATCTAGGCTACATCTGGTATAACTGGCAATCTTTAGCAGTGACAGCATTTAACTCCCTGGGAAGTGATAATAATTAGCAAGGATGGATTTGCCAGGAATTTTCCAGAATTTCATATATAGTTACCAAGAGCAAGAAGCATAGTGTGCAGGTGGGTCAATTAGAGTAGTGCTGGTTCTTTTTTTTTTTTTTTTTAATCAATGGCAGGCCTAAAAAACTTGGAGGAGAGCATATAAAAAGCATCATTGCATCTACATGAGTATGAGGAGCTGGACACAGTAAGATGGCATCCAGATAACGTAGAGCAGGCACAGACTCGTTGGGAGATCCATATTTGAGTCCTGACTCTGCCATTGCTAACTGTGATCTTGGACAAAATATTTTACCTCTCTGTGTCTCAGTCTCCCCATCTGCAAAATAAGAAAGTTGGACTAGTTGATGTCTAAAGTCCCTTCCAGGGTTACCTGTCTAGAATTCTGTGGATATGGACATCCTTTCTTCTTTTAAAAATCATAAACCATACCATTAAAAAAAACAGTGTAATTTCTCCTTTAGGAGCCACTGGTCCTTGGAATGATGACTTAAAGAATTAATATCAGGTTTTTTAAATGTTCTCATGGCTGCTGCAATACACTAGTATGCAGACTTTAAATTTTTGCTCACTAGCTCAATGATGCAGATGGGAAATTTGAAGTGGTGAGAATCTTAACTGCTACATGATCTTTCACAAACCCCTCTCCATTTGACTTGCTGTGGCCACCACCACTACTACCACCACTACCACAGCCACTACTCCCAGGGTTTTTATGAGCATAAATATGGAAGCTATTCCAACTTCTCTCTAACTTGCCTCCAACAAAGACATGGAAGACCCAGTACAGGGAAGGAAGCTACTAACACCAGGTATTGACAACTACACCTCGCCCCCAAAATATTATGCCTCTGAACCATGGGTGTTTTCAGATATTTCCACTTCATTTAAACAGCTTCTAGATTTCTTAGGGAATAAATTGATGTGGTCAGCTAGAATGAAAAGCAAATAGTTTGTTAAAGCCATCACTCAAAATACCAGTCCACTTGGATACATATTGGGTGCCAGTTTTAGAGAGAAAATGCATCTTAAGTCACTGAGAAAATATGTCAGGTGTTCATGGTACTCTATGGGTTGAGTTAGAGGCTGAGTTAGTAGATAACACTTCTTTCTTCCAAAGGTAACCTGGCTAAAAATTCACATGGAATTATTCATTACAAGCATGTTAATGTTCTCTTAGTCAAACTCTAAGGGCACATTCCTCCTTACCTCCTGGGAAGGGAGGCATTACTTAATTGTTTATCTATTTGTGACAGCTAGCAATGGTGATTAAGTGTAGTTAATGTCCAGTCAGTCAAAGAGTTGTAAACAAACTCAGGAACTTGGGGGGAGGGGAGAGGGGATATCTAGAACTGCAAAACTTGCACAAACACTTTGGTAGTATTGCCAATCTCTGTATTTCTGGATAATGACCCTGGAATCAAGGTTCCAGGGTGGTCCAGCTCCTAGGCCCAGCACCACCCTTTCTGCAGAAGATTTTTTTCCTACAAGATGGAACAGATAGAAAATTAATTTGATTTCTTCTGCTTGACACCAGAGAACAGAACCAGGAGCAATAGGTGGAAGATGGAGAAAGACATACTTTGGTTTGATGTGAGGAAAAACTTCCTAACAACCAGACCTCTCCAAACATGGCATTGACTGCCTCAGGAAGTGGTGAGTTCTCCCTTCCTGGCTATCTTCAGAAGCAGTATCTAGAGCACCACTTATCCAGAATGCTGTTGAGGGTGGATTGGATGAGATGGCCTCAGAGGTCATGCTTGGTAATGTTGAGATTCTGTGATTCAGGGTCAATGTCTCTCTGTGGGAAAAGCTTTCCACTTAAAATCTTACGGAAGTTTTGCTATCAACAGGTACCTCCCACAAACAGAAAGGGGGTACATGTAGTAATAGAGAATAGAGGTGTTCAATGTTTCCTCCCATCTCCCTAGCAGTCCAAAAGCAAACCAAGTCCAGCAGCCTCGGTATCACTGCATTTCAGTCACTGGACATTTCAATGGCATTCACCCCAGGATATCACAATGTACATGGCTTTATAGGACTTTGTATCCCCAGCATCTAATACAATACCTGGTATTGAGCAGGCATGCTGGTCAAATTAAATTGAACAGTGACAATCCCTTCAGTTCCTAGCACGGAGAGACCTCCAGTTTGTAAGGCACAAAAGAATTCCCATTTGTCACCCTGACTGGAGGCTCATCCCCAGCAAGGTTGGCACCGGGAGGGTCTAGTCATTCCAATGTGCCTGGCTGTTGCTTTTTTTCTTTTCCCTTTCCAATCAAGAGCCTGTCCCCATTTCCCCAAGAAGCATGCTACAGCTTAATTCTTCAGCTCTCCATTCACAGAGGGAACAGAATAGGCATTGACGAGCCCTTGTTGGTCATGCTTCCTTTGATAGCAATTCCTGATGAACTTGTAGAGGGCGAACAAGGGGATGATGAGGCATGGGACTCCAACCACAAAAACCACCACAACATAGACCCAGCCAGGATAGGGCTTTTCTTCTGCTATAGGAAACTTGTCCTGGGAAGGTAAACACAACCCATGGTCAAGTCAGACAATTATACTCATGATACAATAGATTGCAGAGCTAGGCTTTCCAAAATTAAACATGGGGAGGAAAGGAACCCCCCCCTTTGCCCTGTCTCTCCTTTTTTTCTCCTCCCAAGTCTTCCTGAATCAGAAGGAAGAGTGAAGCCTCCCTTCATATGCAGATGGATTTTCCTATGCCCTGGCCCTTGGGTAGTGTGTGGGGCCTTCCCTAACAAGCCAGAATAGGCATATTTCTATGTACTTACATATGCAGGGTCCCAGACACTGTATTTCAGCTCCTTGCTGACTTCTGTCACAAAATAGAAGAGGAATATAACTAACATGATGATAGGACTGATTACTCTCCAGGTGATTTGCCAGAAGATATTTGGCTTATGACCGACCATAAACTCAATATCCTTATTAAACCTAAAAATAAAGACCAAGAGGAGAAAATTACCTCATTGATAAAACAAAATGAAAATCCATCTTTCCCCTTCTGGTGCTAACATTCTACTGAGTTTAGATCATATAAGTGAGGTTTTCTTAAAGTGGGGCAACCCTTTACTGACTGCACAGACCTCCATTACAACATAGCTTTGATGTAGGTCTATTGTTACTACAAGTAGGAAAGGAAAGCCTTAGTCCTGCCTACCCATTGAAGTTCTTCAGGATCCTATTTAGAAATCATCTGCCTCTGATGTCATCTGTAATTACTAAGGAAGACCTTAGTTCAAGTCCTTCTTCAGATACTCACTAGCTGTGTGACCTTGGGTGGGTCACTTAACCTCTGTTTGCCTCTGTTTCCTCATCTCTAAAAGGGGGGTGATGATAATAATAGCACCTACCTTCCAGGGTTGTGAGGAACAAATGAGATAATATTTGTAAACCATTTAGCAAGGTGCCTGGCATATAGTATGCTTATTCCCCTCCTTCCCCTCCCCCTTTCATTCAGAAGTGTCCTCTCTCTCTTCAGATTTCCTATAGCATTTAGCTTATACTATGTTTGCAGAACTTACTGCATACTATTTTGTCTTGAATGTGTCATTGTACATTTTTTAATATGTCATGTAATATATAATATTTAATTTCTCCCACTAGAAGCCTCTTGGAATCAGGGAATGTATATTGGATACCTTTCAGTCTCCAACACACAAAACAGTGCCTCCACCATAGAAGGTAGTAGGGTGTTTGAATCAAGTCTACCCTCCTTAATCTATTGCCTCTGCCTCCTATATCCTTAGCTTCTTTCAAGGTTTTTCTCAAGTGCTACCTCCTACCAGAGGCCTTTCCTGTACCACTCCATTGTTAGTACTCTCCTCCTACCCTTCCTAATGACTATATATGCATTTTCTACTTACTTATCTGTATATATGTAATCTCTTCCCAGGAGAATGTAAATTCCTGTTTTACTTTTGTCCTTCTGTCTCTAATGTCTAACCTGCTATCTGGCACATAGGAGGTACAAAAATACTTCTTGAATTATCTTTTAGAGATTTCTGTTGTCCCTTAAGCTCCTTGAATTTGTGAGTGAACTAGACACATTTGTAGACTCACAGGCATTGAATTTTCTTGTGAACTTACTTTTTTTTTTCTAATTTTACTTTAATTTAAAATAGAAATTCTTAACCTGAGGTCTATGAACTTTTTTAAAAATTAGTTTTGATAACTATATTTTACTCTAATTGGTTTTCTTTCTAATCCTATATATTTTACTTTATCCATTTTAAAGCATCATTCTGGGAAGGAGTCCATAGGTTTCAGTAGACTGTTAAAGGGGTCCATAACACACACACAAAAAAGACTAAAAACCTTTGATTTAAAGTTTTCTTTGAAGTTCCACCATGCTCTCATAAACCAGATGACATTGTGGTTCTGACATTATCCACCAGGGAGCAGGCTGCCCACGCTTCTGATTTCATTCTCTTGCTCTAATTCTCTTACATTTTTTTTTATTTGCCTCTTTTAAACTTCTCCCTCAGAAGTCCACTTTTATATAAGCCTACCTGTCTACTCCATAAATGTAAACAACTGCAAACATCTCACAAAAGGCAACGACGAGCAGGGGAATGGATCCAGCATAACCATCTAGCAGAGAGAGCCAGTACTGTCCTGAGTTCAGAGTGAAAATGAAGGCAAGGAGGTATGTCCCCAAACAAATCAGACCTGCAGCATGAACAAAGAACAGGCCAATAGGTTATCTTGGATAAGTAAAACAGAATGAAATTCCAGGTCGGCTCAGACAGCAGGCTTCAAGTAACCTGGGGGTTTAAGGTGGTAGGCTTCCCAGTTGTGAAGTTGCTGATTTTGTTTTTGAAACCTCTTGTTTTACCTTAAAGGACCCTCGCTCTGCCTTCCATCTGAGGAGGAACTTTACAAATTAGGTTTGTTGGAAAGAACATTTTGTGAGCCAGACTAATGAATGGGCAATGAACAATGTCGTGGCAATGAATCTGGGACTGGGGATGTTAGCTCCTTTGTGAATAGATTTAAGACAGAGTGATTCCTCTGAGATAGAACCAGTTGTAAGCATTGGCTACACAGGCAGAACTACTTCATCCCCAAGCAGGCCCGCCTTAGACTAGTATCATGTGATCAAATGGGATCATGGATGCAGAATACTTTGCAGACTTTAATGTGATTAATGTGTCAACTATTACAATTGTTATCATTGTCCAAAATTGTGATTTCATTGGACCAGGGAACTCCTTCTACCAATGCATGTCAGCCCAGCTTCTACAATTTGGAGGGTTGTCTGGGCTATGAGAGGTTAAGTGATTTCCCCAGGGTCACACAGCCTGTGTGTATAAGAGGTGGGATTTGAACTGAGCTCTTCTGACTGACTGAGGCCAAATCTCTGTCTCCTATGCTATTTCCTTCTGGGCTGTGCTTCTGACTCCATATTTCACCAGGTAACTCAGTGGCCTTCTCACTGTGGAGATTCTGTCAGTGCCTAGGACCTTTTCACCCTGGAATGGCCATCTGTCCTGCAGGCCTCTTCTCCCATTGTGAGTTGTACACAGGGGGCAGGGAGGCTCCATTTTGAGGTTGGGCTCAAGCTGCCATGCTTCATTCCCCTCCCCAGCTCCCATCTGTCTCTCTGGGCTTCCCAGCGCGGTCTTAGATGGGTACCTTCTCCTACTCTCTCCCTTTTAGGAGTTGTCTTTCTCCATTAGAATGTAAGCTCCTTGAGGGCAGGGGCTGCCTTTCTTTTTGCCTTTCTTTGTATCCTCAGGGCTTAGTACAGTGCTCAGTAAATAGTAAGCTCTTAATAAATGCTTGTTAATTAGATTATTATTATTAATAATAAACTTCCATTTATACAGCTGATGTTTGTGTGGAAATGGAGGCTTTGAATTGTCATTCAAATTTTATTGAAAAAGAATCCTACTGTGAATCCTTGGACACAATGAATGCTTTGGTGATGCATGCAGATAGTAAGCTTTTAGTTGTTTGGTAAGTGCAATTTTCATAAAGGCAGCCAGGCTGTGCAGTGGATAGCAGTGCCTGGCCTGGAGTCAGGAAGACTTATCTTCCTGAGTTCAAATCTGGCCTCAGATCTTTGCTAGTTGTGTAACCCTGGGCAAGTCACTTAACCCTGTTTACCTCAGTTTCCTCATCTGTAAAAATGAGTTGGAGAAGGAAATGGTAAACTATTCCAGTATTTTTTGCCAAGAAAAAACCCCAAAAGGAGTCACCAAGAGCCAGACATAACTGAAAAATGACTCAACATCAACAATTGTCATAGGTTGGGTGTTTTGTTTTGTTTTGTTTTAAAGATAGGAACACCTTAACAAGAGAAGAAACTCGTTATAATGCAACCACTGTATATAACAGGGCATAGATGAGAGAGTTGGTCTTGAAGCTAAGGATACCTGGATCGAAGTCCTGCCTCTGATGCACACTGACTGCCTGACCCTGGTCTAGGTCGTTGCCTTCCCAGGGCTCTAAGCAGCTCTCTAGGACTATTAGTTGCAGGGAAAGTGCTGATCTGAACTGGTAGAAGGAATTTCTTTACCTGGGAGCTGCCTGTATCAATGACACCCCAGGTCTAGTCCTTTTCCTCTGGTATATATAACAGTGAGCCAGTCCATGACAAATATTAGGCTTGTCCCACCAACAGGAGCATTATAAAGGATTCCACTGGAGATGATTCTGGTAACAGACATTTAAAGATGGCGCATACCTGTTAGAAGGTCCTTGGGCCATTTTTCAGGGATGATCTTAAGATCCAACAGGGGAACAACTACACCTTCCATATTCCCAAACATAGATGACAAACCCAAACAGAACAGCATTATGAAGAAGAGGACAGACCACAGAGGCGAAAGTGGCATTTTGGTGATGGCTTCAGTGAAGACAATGAAGACTAAACCAGTTCCCTGTCCTCCCTGTAGGACAAAAAGATTCATATAGAAAGTCCATTTTATTAAGCATATGTCAATTATACAGCGATTTGAGTCTCCTGAAACATCAGAGTATCTTTTTCTTTTCTCCTCTCTCTAAGCGCTATTCCTCCAAATCCTCAAATCCTTAAAATAAAATCTTTACTATAGATATTCTAGAATTAAGTTGATCTATAATCAAACACAAGTTTATATATTTTTGTATTTTTCCTTTGTATGGTTTCAATATGGCAAGGAATAGAGTGAAGTTTTGGTAAAATACTATTCATTTGATCCATGCCTAGGACTGGGGATGCTCACTCACACAGGGATTCCAGAAAAGCTATCCTTAACTCATGCCACCACCCTATGAGTCAGCTTCCACTCAAAACCATAGCTCTTGGGTCCTCATCAATGTTCTCACTTTTACTAGTCTGCCAGAAGACACATAAAGTTAACAAACAAAAACTATTTGATGAAACAACGTAGCAAGCCAAACTACAGGAAAAGATCCCCCCAGACCCCAATATGGGGTACACCATCCCATAGATTGCCTTACTACTGGTAGAGAAGGGCACACATCTGAGAACATGTGCAGCCTGGGAACAAACACAGAGGTGACATGAAAAGCCAGAGAACATGTATGAAAACTCACATGCCAGAAGCTTGTGTTTTCTGATCTCCCTGTACATGAAAAGGACAAACTAGATAATTGAGGACTCAGGTTTTTTTCAGTTTTTAATTTTTTTAAGTTAATTCTTCGTTTCTGAGTCTCAGCCTGTACCTAATTAATCAGATAATGGCTGCTTCTCCATCCAGTGTGGCCTATGCATTTCCTTTGCATTGTATGACATTCTTCTAGAATGCTATCCATCCAGAGGTCTAAGATCATTGAATTGGAAGGAATCTTGGAGATATTTTGGGATAACCTCCTGCTTCAATGGAAGAAGAAACTGAAACCCTGAGACAACTTGCCACAGGTTGAACAGGTAATAAGTGGCAAAACCAGGATTCAGTAACAGGCCTTCTGATTCTGAGTCCTGTGCTCTTTCCACAATGCTATACTGTGGTTTGAATGGATCATTCGATATACCTTGTATTTACTGATTGTAGTCTGTCCCCATACTAGTCCCCAACCCCCAACTCATTTACCAAAATTATGTGATTCAAGTTAGCAAAAGTTTTTATTAGCCCTAGTACTACAAGTATTAAAAACTGGGGTAGGAGAAGTGAAATGACTTGAAAGACATAAATTAATATTTAAACCAAGATTAAATCTTTGTTAGCAGAACATGAATCATCAAAACGTACCAACTGAATGATAGTATTATATAGCTCCCAGTCAACCCACATTTAGAGCAGTGTTACCTCTGTATGTTCATATTATATAAATAGACATGGTACAATAATAACCTCTTCTGTTTTGTACCGATAGATAAGTGGTAATTGGTAAACTGTTCAACATTCATTCATGAACCAAATTCTTCCTGCTCTTGGACCAACTCTTAACTTTTGTTATTCTGGTGATTGGAAGAAGGGAGAGGAAGGAAGGTTTGGGTTGAGCCAGTGCTCTGAGCAGAAATCAGTGGCTCCCGGAAATGACCTCATGGAACTTACCAGGAATGATCACAGGAGTTGAGCTGCTGACATGCACAAAATATATCAATTTAAGACAACATCTTTTTTAACAGGCTCATGAAAATATTGTAGTAAAGTCCTCCTGTCACAACAATGAGCCTGTCAGTTACAAAGCATTTATTAGGTATGTACTGTATGCCACGCACTGTGCTAAGTGCTGAGGATACAAAGAAAGGCAAAAATCAGTCTTTGCCCTCGAGGGGCTCACATTTTAATGTAGGATACAAAACTTAGAAGTCACAGGTAACTGTTACAGCTGGAAGGGATTGCAAAGATCGTCTGGGCCAATTCTCAGGTTGTATAGATAAAAAACTAAATTAGATGACTTGTCCCAAAATCACACCATTAGTGGCAGAAGTGGGCCTGCAACCAAGGCTTCTTGAAGCTTGGCACCTACTTAAGCCCTTTTCTACAAAAAGACTCTCCTTTTTTGGAAGCAATCGGGTTAAATGACTTGCCCAGGGTCACACAGCTAGTAAGTGTCTAAGATTGGATTTGAACTCAGGTCTTCCTGACTCTAGGACTGGTGCTCTATCCACTGCACCACCCAGCTGCCCCAAAAAGATTCTTTTTGAAATATGTTGGGAAGAGCTCCAGGAAAGAAGGGTCAGCAATCAGAATTGTCCTGTTGTTTTTCCTATCCTGAATTTTCACTTTTCTATCTTCTCAGTTCCCTAGGAAATGTGGGTGAAATTAGGCAGACAGAGAAATGGAAACTGAGGCTGGGGAGACACAGGAAACAATTGTGTTTTCTGTTCTCATGTGACCAGCCTTCCCTCTGCACTGTGTAGAAGATATGTTGGAAAGTTGGTAAAAGTCATTTGGGATGCCATACACCTGATTGGCAGCTAGGTGGCAACATAGTATATAGAGCACTAAACCTGGAGTCAGGAAGATCTGAGTTCAAATTCGACCTCAGACACTTATTAGCTGTATGACCCTGGGCAAGACACCTAACTTGTTTGCCTCAGTTTCCTCATCTGTAAAATGGGGTTGGTAATAATACCTACCTTAATATATATACACTATACTGTACTATACTATAATTATTATATATAAGATATAATATAAAATACCTTCCAGGGTTGTGATCTAATGAGATAATAAATGTGAAATGCTAAGCATAGTGCTTGGTAGATAGTAAAATTTATATAAATTTTAGCTACTATTGTTATTATTACTAATTATAAAAGTTCATTGGATCATAGCCTCAAAGCCAGAAGTCCTAAAGTTTATATAACCCACCCCACTCAGTTTATAGATGAGGAAACTGAGGCCCCGAGAATTTAAGTGATTTGTCTAAGCTCATGCAATACTAAGTGGCAGAACAAAGGTTGAAGCTAAATCCTCTGATTCCAAATGTAATGTTCTTTCCATTGTAGCAGGCGCCTCCCTTAGAGGAAAGGGTAGAGAACTGACAGTCCTATGTGGTGACTGGAAGAAGGGAGAGAAACAAATATCAGTACAGATGCAACCTCAGGCTACGTCCAGATCCACCTCTGTGTTCTTCCTGTCTCTAGCTAGCTCTCTAAATATCTTCTTCCAAATGTTTCAGGTTCCAGGGCCTCATCCTTCAATGGGAAGGAAGTAAAGGGCCAGAAGAGGTAGTAGTGTTCATGAGGGTACCTAGTGCCAGGTACCCAACCCATCTAAGCCTTTCCCTGCCTGATAAACGCCGCGAAGTGTGCAAAGGGGAGAAGCAGAGTGCAAACTGGAATGTTCACTTACTTCTTTTAGAAAAGAATTCATGTCACACGTCCTGAAAGTCAACTGTGCAAAGGCAGCAGGGTCAGTTGCATTATACAAAGCTTTCATGTACTCAAAGTTGTCCTGTGTGATATTACCTTCAGGCAAATCAAATCCATTGGTCAAGGTCAGGATGTTTCTAGAAAGAAGGATACAAACCAGGGGAGATTAATAGGCACAATAGTCCTAGATAATATCAGAGCCTTTAATGAAGTCCAAATGCAGATACACATAGCAGCTGGGGGGGGGGGGTGGGGGAAGCCTGAATTACTAGGTCCTCAAAAATATATTTGCATAAATATAAGTACATATGCTTACTAGATATATAAATATACTTACTAGTATACTAAGTACAATTACTTAGTATACAGCATCCTAGTATGCTGTTTTTCAGTCTTTTTCAGTCATGTCCAACTCTTCATGACCACATTTGGGGTTTTCTTGGCAAAGATACTGGAGGGGTTTGCCATTTCCTTTTCTAGTTCATTTTTACAGATGAGGAAACTGAGGCAAAAAGGGTTAAGTGACTTGCTCAGGGTCACAATGTAAGTGTCCGAGGCCAGATTTGAACTCATGAAGATGAGTCTTCCGGATTCCAGGCCTGGCCCTATATGCACTATGGCGCCACCTAGCTGCCACACAATATCCTAGTCTAGGATACTTGATTTAGAGCCAGAGGGGATTTTACAGATCATAGAGGCCAACCCCCTTGTTTTACAGAAGAGGTAACTAAGGCGCAGAGATTTTAAGTGACCTGCCCAGGGTCATAGAGTTAATAAGTGTCTCTAGTTCGATTTAAGCCTGTGTCTTCCTGGTTTCAAGTTCTGGTCCCCATTCACTAAAGAGCATATGATAAGCCCCTCTATCAATGCATATAACATAATACATGGTCCTTCAAATGCTAAAAACTTTGAGACTACTTACTGACTGAAGCAGTCATCATATTTCTCCGTGGCCCGGAACCCAATGATGGAATAAACCACGGTTGCTGCATAAACAGATGTGAAGCCATTGATCACAGAAACAATCACTGCATCCATCTCACAGTTGTTGCTATACGTTAAGAAACAAATATCAGTACAGATGAAACCTCAGACTAAAAAGCTTGTAAGTTTGTTTACATGATAATGACTCCTATTTGCCTGGTAATTTAAGGTCCACAAGAGCACTCACATGGACACTCCCCCATCTCCAACATGTCCAGTGAGAGTCCCAGTTCCAGTACTTACTAATAAACACATACCTGTGTGACCTTACAAATTCTCTGGGCTTCTATTTCATCATCT